ACACACACACACACACACAAGAGCCCATGCCAACACACACACATACACACACACACACACACACACACACACACACACACACACACCTCCTCTGTTTTTGTTAAGCTTGGCAAGAAGAGAACAATGGCATCTAAGTGAGGGGGCAGCTAAGAGTAGAAGGTCATATAAAAGGCCCTGGTTTTGATTCCTCAGTTTAGGTTTCAGCCTCAGTTACCATACCCGTAAGATGAGTTTAGTTTGTTTTTGTTTTTGTTTTTTTAAACAAAGTCTTTGTAAGGACTAAGCTATGCCTAGGGCAGCATAAGACCAAGTTCCTAGGAGAGTGTTGTGAATTGATGCTGTTGGTGAGGGAGACTGGCATGCCTCTTGCCTAATGAAATGCCTTCTGTCCTGCCTTCCTCCTTCTCTTTCTCCTGCTTCCTAGGAGGCCTTTTCCTGACGGATTACTCCACCTGCTCACCTCGAAAGCTGAGTCCTTTCCGCTCATTTGCCAGCACTGAACTCTTCCACTTCCATGTTCCAGAGGACACGTTCCTGGCGGTTTGGAACCTCATCATCTTCAAGGAGCAGGGGGGGACCTTTGGGGACCACTGCCCAGACCAAAGTGTGACTGTGTGAGTGTCTGAGTTACCTCTCTAGCCCCATTTCTAATCCTGGCCACTTCCAAAACTGAATTGTGATGTGATACGCATGCCCCCCCCAATCTATCTTCTGACCCCAACTTTGGCCCTTAACTATTTAATTTTGGAATGAAGTATGACTGAGAACTGAGTGTGGACCATGACCTCTGTTATCTGACTACTTCCTGACTTCTGTTTAACAGTATGAGTGTCTGAGCTAATCTCTTGACTCTTATGGCTTTTTTTTGGTAGTTTGTTTGTGTATGTGTATGTGTGTATGTGTGTGTGCGTGTGTGTGTGTGTGTGTGTGTGTGTGTATGTGTGTGTGTGTGCACGTGCCTATACTGAGGCTTGAACTCAGAGCTTCAAGCTCTTAGTTTTTTCCATTCAAAATTTGTGCTCTACCCCTTCAACCAAACCCCTATTTCCAAATTTTTGCTGGTTAATTGGAGATAAGAGTATTTCGGATTTTTCTGCATGAGTTGGCTTCAAATTATGATCCTCAGATTTCAAACTCCTAAGTAGCTAGGATTACTGGTGTGAGCCTCTGGCACCTGACTTATTTTACTGCTGTTGAGTAACAATTCTTTCTTTTCTCCATTTTCTACCCCCCACCCTACTGCCTGTTTTCCTCCTCTCCAAATTCTTGTCTCCCAGGTATTTCCGGTCAGGGGCACCCCCTGTCATCAATCCCCTGCACACACACTTCCCAGGGGACACAGCTGTGCCCGGGGTTTTCTCACTGACCCTCAGCTGGACGCTGCCCAACCGCACCTCAGGCATCTTTAATGTCAGCAGCCCTTTACCTGGGGACTGGTTCTTGGCTGCCCACCTTCCCCAGGCCCATGGCCACATCTCTGTCAAGGTGGGTTAATGCTGTAAGGGGCAGGAGGGGTCAAAGCTGCTTCTCCATCTGCTGGATTTCCCCCACAGGTTACCTGGCATATCAGTACTGGGGCAGGCAGTTGGAGGCCAGCAAGTCACCTGGTGAATGGTCTGCAGCAGAAGGCCTTGGAACCTTTAGAGAACTTAGTAGTTACATGGTAGCTGAAGGTAAAGTCCAGTGTCTAGAATCAGGCTCTGGCACTAGAGAGTAGTGTCCTGCCCAGATGGAGGGAACCAGGGTTACTTTAAGGTGGTCAGGAGCTAACCAGGGATTGGTTGAATCTTCTATACAAACCCAGAACTACTCTTGTTCTACATTTTGATTAATAATTACAGGCCATAGCCCTGTCTATAGTGCATATGGAAGTGTATTCTTTTTCTGTCATAGTTTCAGACAGTTCCCCCAACTCTGGAATACCGGTTAAAAGGAAGCCATGGGCAGCTGGTGTCCCTTCTGACTGTTGCCTTCCTTTCCTTTGAATATCAGCACTGAATTCAAAGAACAAAGACTGCTAAAGTCTAGAAAAGGCAGGTTATTGTGGTTTAGAGGACAAGGGAATGCCAGTGTTTTCCTGTCATTCTTGTATGTTAGATAGACTGGGCTTCCTCCTTGTAGTGAAGGGATCTGTAAGTTTCCAATTCTTGTTCATTGAAGGAGAGGTAGGATGTGATAAGGTGGCCACATACATGGGCCCTGAGGTTAGGGTGAAGGGACTGAGCACGAGCAGAATAAGGATGAAAGAACAGGACATTATAGAGCTAGAAAGCTAGTGAGGTTTGGGCATTGAGAATTGAGGGGGGAAGAAATTTCCAACCAGGTTGAGTTCCTTGAAGTGTGGGACTCTTTTTGTGACAGACTCACCTTCTTTCATTGGAGTCCAGTGTTCAGAACAGGTATTATTAATGAGCTGAGAATCACATGGCAACAAGTTCCCTGGCCCTGCTGTTGCTAGGTATATAAATGAGGGCTGAGGTAGTCTCAGGATAGGCTTACATTTCTTTCTTTCTTTTTTTTTTTTTGTCAGTTGTGGAGCTTGAACTTAGGGCCTAGATGCTGTTCCTGAGCTCTTTCGCTCAAGGCTAGCACTCTACCACTTTGACCCACAGCTCCACTTGCAGTTTTTGAGTTGCTAATTGGAGATAAAGTCTCACGGGGACTTTTCTGCCCAGTCTGGCTCCTCAGATCTTAGCCTCCTGAGTAGCTAGGAATACAGGTGTGAACCAGTGACATCCAACTAAGGCTTGCATTTCTTGAGAGTAATGTATAAGAAGGCCTGGCAGTCCTCTGGATAAGATATGCTGACAGCTCATCTGGAAGAGGCTCTGGTTATAGGTAGGCTTTGACTGGCATTAGAGATAAGTATTGTTCTACTGGGATGGATCCCTTCATAGGACTTTGACCAAGTTTCATGGGTTCTGCCCTTCATCCCCTGATCCTTGATGTACTTTGTGAGAGCTGACATAGATAATCCTCCATCCCATCTCCAGTTAGTCACCATCTTTCTAGGTAAGCAGGAAGTACCTAGAGCCTGGGACAATGGGGAATAAGAACATGATTTGAAATGCCCAGACAAAAGGGAGTTAGGCAGCAAGAAAAGAATGAGGTCTGACATGCGTCTGGGCATAGCAAGTAAGGCATAGGGAACTTAATACTGCAACTGATGCCACTGCTAGTAATGCTCCCTGGGAGGCAGTGAGACAGGGAGAAGAGGACACAGTTTTACCTTGTGTATGAGTGGCAGCTGGTCTGGACACCAAGTCGACTTGTTCTAGAGGCAAGGATCTTGTGTATGGCTTTTCTAAGAATTTGATTACATTCTGGAATCTTATGTGAGCTTCTAAGGATCCTTAAGGTCTCCAGAATGGCCAATTTCCCAATTCAAACCTGAAGATTCATTGTCTAGGACATTTCTCTATCTTCTCTACTTCATCTTCTGTGAACCATAGTCTTAACTTCCTGTGAGGATTGGAAAACACAGGAAGTTATGTGGGTTCCAGGGAGGCCTTGGTCGGGGCCTGAAGAAGTCCAGTGATAAGAGTTCAGTTCTAGGACCCTTCTCAATTTGGGGGATGATCTCAGATATTCCCTTAACTTTTTGCCTTTTAGCACCTGAATTGTACTAGGTCTCAGGTTGGGTGCTGAAAAAACTGAAGTGAATAAGTTGTATATTAGTGAGATACAGGGTATTTGAAGAGGATGACAAAGAGAAGGCTAACATCTTGGTTAGGAGGTAAGGCTCAAGGGTCAGGACATAGGGAAAGGTATTTTAGGTGGTGAGAGTAGCATGGGCCAAAGCTCAGAATGCAGAGCTGGATTTATTTAGTGTTGGGTAGGTAAAGGAGATGGAGTCGACAGAACCTAGGGTATAGAAGGCCTAGAAGTTTGAACTGTCTGGAGACTGGTCGCCTGGAAAGGCTATAAAAAGGAAGCAACTTACTTGGTCCGGGCCAATCTCCTAAACTCCAGTTCCATGTCTGCTAGACCCTGTGTCTGCATTATTCAATTCATACTCTTAGCATTTAGCACAGAGCATGGTATATAGTAGGGTTTGGCAATTTTTTTTTTTGCCCTTTTTGTCACCTTTTCAAACTCATAATGTCTCAAACTGATCCCATTTATCCTCTTGTTCTTGTCCCTTCTTTCCTATCAACTGATTCTTTCTTGTCCCCCTGTCCTCCATCTCCTTGCCTTTCCTGCCTTAGCACATGTGCTCATTCTATGGCGCCCAGTTGCCAGCCTGCCTTGAGTGGCTGGCTGTTGGGTCGTGAATACCACCTGGCACCCAAATGGCTCATAAGTAGAAAGTTCTCCCAAACGGCTGGGCACAGGTCTTCCTCGAAGGCCTCTTCTTTCCAGTCTAAGATTCAAATGTAAATAAAGCAGGTAAAATGGTGAAAATGTTTGGAAGGAAAGCAAAGAAGCAGATGGTATAGAAGACTGGATTCTGTTCAGTCTGTTAACTAGGACCAAGCATGACTCAATGGTAATGCAGCTGAAGTGATTAAAATCTGCTAACGGTGCCTCTTCTGCTTTTCCTCCTCCTAAGTTATTTTATTTATATTTCAACTAGGTAATATATGCACCTGGTACAACATTCGAAAGGTACAAAAGACATGCAGTGAAAAGTAAGTCTTCCTCTTCCCTCCTCCTTCCAGTTCCCAATTCCTTCCCCGGAATTATCTAGTAACTGGCTTTTAAATTTACTTATTTATTTGGTACTGGGGATTGAACCCAGGGTCTCATTCTTGCTAGGCAAGTAGTCTACCACTTGAACTATATCTCCAGCCCAACCAGATCTTTATAGTTATCTTTACTTCTTGATCATTATCCTCTTGTCTTTTGTGATAGTATATCACATCTTGCCTCTCTTTTGCCTACCATCCTCTTCTCTGTCTTGATCTATTATAGTGATGATAGGTCCTGGAAAAATTCCTTTTATTTTTTCCAATCTCTTGTTGTATCTAGCACAATTGTTTTAAATACTGTCTGTGAGTTAATGCCTTCTAAGAGTAGTCGGCTAGGCCTAATTTCTTTTAGTCTCAACTTTATATTCAATTGCTTATTTGTTATTTCTAATTAGCTGTTTAAGAAATGTCTCAGGCTTAGTATTTGTAAATCAAAGTTAAAAAAAATCTGATTCTCAATTACTTCTCCTAATCTGAGCTTCTTTCTCTGGTTCTTTTCTTTCATTAAATGTCATTGTCATCCACCAAGCTGTTCAAACCTCAAATTTAGGTGTCATCCTTGATTCCTATTTTCACTTTATCTCCCCACATCCAATCCATAAAGAAAAAGTCTTGTTGCCCCTACTTCTAAAAGAGCATGCCGTGAATGTGTCTACTTCTGTCTACTTCCACTTTCAGCACATATTCCCTCAGCTTTCTCCTGGGCCACCATTGTAACCTCCTAAATGATCTTCCTGCTTCCACTCCTGCTCCTGTAGACTTTCCATTTCCAGCACCTTCTCTGGTGCTGACTGTGGGCTTGTTGGTTATGGGTGATTCACAGAGAGGAGACCAAGTGTTTTTGGGCATGCCACTTTAAAGAAACTCAGCCCACCCATATGAGATGCAGAATCTATCTATCTTGTCCTTCCATTTCAGGATCTTTCAGACTCTTACACTCAGTTTGGATTCTGTGTTAGTGGCTTGTAAGAACCTGATTTCTGTTGACTTTTCCCAACCCCACTGCAACTTCACTGCAGTTCTTCACCTTCCCTGGTCTTCCCTCCATATTGAGGGGACTGGATATGTGAGTGGTACAGTTGAAGGAAGGAGCACATTTTTATCAGAGAGGTCACATGTCCTGATTGCTTATTTGAAAACAAGAAGAAAGAAAAATATAGAGCAGTATTTTTTTCTCTGAACTGTCTGACAAGGAAATGGACCATCTCCTGAGCATATATCTTTATCCTTGGTACTCATTCACTGTGATTATTTTACAATCCTGACTTAGGAGATGGGGGTAGAGTGTCACTGAAATGCCTTATGAAGAGTGTTTCTGATCATTGGGGACAAAATAGTCTTTTGTTGACACCAAAGATGAGGGACATCTGTTCTAGATATCAGAGAGAAATTTCTGAGCATCTCCCTTGGTTCAAGAGCTCTCTGAAGGTGCTGTCTTTTGCAATTCAGCAGCACGTACTTTATGCTAGTGGTGTGCTAGGCACTGAGCATGCATTGGTGAAGAGGCACAGAAACATTTCACACAGATGGTAATGAGAGCTTCTGGCCTGAAGCTATCATGGCCCCCTTCCAGCCTCCTGGAGCTTTGCTGGAAGTCAGTGCCTTGGGCTGGCTGTTCTTGGCATGAAATGCAGTAGGATGTCAGGGCTTGGATCTTTTGTCCCAGAACAAGGCTTGGAGGTATGTCTTGGGAAGAGTAACAACACCAGTGAGTCATACCCTCTAGGTTATATTGGGTCAGCAAAAGATTATTTTGTCCAGAAGGTTAGAAAAACCTAATTAGATCCTGGTGCCCCTTGACTGACATGGGACTTCGATGGCTGCAAGTACCATGAAACAGGAATGATAACAAATGGGACTGTGCACATGGAAGAGTGATGGGGCTCTATAGGCTGCAGAAGGGGCTAGGGAATTTGTTCAGGATGAGAGAAAACAGGAGATGTGATCTTGTCCTCTACTGGCAGAAGATACAGTGTGAGGCTGAAGAGCAGGTTGTATCTGTGGACCTCAAGGGCAGAGTAATGGGAGGGGGATAAAAAATGCCAGGTTTTGGTTTCACGAAGGTCAGAATAATCCCCAGCTTGATTGATTCATTATTGATTTATTTATTTGGCAAACATTCATTGTGAGTTGTGCATACTATGTTAGGCCTATATCAGGAGAACAAAAATAAAATAAGACAAGTTGCTAATAGTCTGGAGATTGTCTGAGAGCTCATTAATGGCTCTCACTGTTGGGATAGAGCAGAGGCTTGACCAGCACATGTGAAGGGGCAAGTTGAGGAATAAAAATAAAGATTCAGATTGGCTAGTGGTTAGCAGGGTTGTATTAGAGGCCTTGAAGGAGCTTTCCATTGTCCACAACAGAGCCAGTGTTCTGGTTGGGGGATTAGAGTTGTTTGAGATTACTGTGAGTTGGGGCTGGCCAGCCATGCTTAGGAGGGAGAGTTGGACTGGGAGAAGGTATGATGAGCAGCATCTGATTGTCATCTGGGTCTGGTCATCGAGCACTGAGGATCACAGCAGATCTTGCAGGCCCAGGTAGGTGGGAAGTGATCAGAAAGGACTACTCAGAGCTTAGAGAGACCGTAGTCAGAGCCCTGGGATTAGAAGAGGCCAGAGGGGTTTCTTTTGGATTAATCTAGCAAGTTCTTACTAGCACTAGTTTAGTAGCACCCTTGCTATCTTCCGACTTCCTGTCATCCTTGCTTTTGTCTCAGGGTCTCCAGGATGAATGTCAGTACCTTCTTCAGCCACAACTGATCATCAGGCGTTTGCTGGATGTTGCTGTGTTGGTTCCTGGCCGTCCCTCAGAGCAAACCCTTTCTCTCCACAATCACTCAGCCCTGTACAAGTAAGTTGAACAAATCTGGCTCCTCTGGTTGTAAATAGGTGGCAAGGGGGCTCTTTTGGCTTCTTAGCCACCTGCCTGGTTCTGCTCTCCCTGCCGCCAAACTAAGTTTCTTGGGTGACCTAGAGCCCTAGGGTGGGTTGGATTCCCACCACAGAAAAGACCCAAAAAGGCTCTATGTTCCTCTGTGTCCTCTAGTCCATCTCTGCTCCTTCATCCTTTTGTTTACCTCTTTATGGTATCCCTCTCATTTCTCTGCCTTTTCTTGCCCCCAACCTCTCCTCTGCCCAGGGTCTTTGTGCCCAGCTTTACTTACAGGGTTTCAGCACAGCTGGTGTGTGTGGGGAGCCGAGCGGTGTCTACCTGCCCCCTGACATTGCGCCTACGTCCCAAGGCCCCACCCCTGCACAACTCAAGCTCTGTGGCCTGTGGAGGTGCCTCAGTATGCCAGCTGGAGCTAGCACTGCCTCCCTGGGGACACTGGGTCTATGTGCGTGTGGAGACACCATCCCGTGGCCCCAGTAGGACTGTCCGCTTCCAGCTGGTTGTGCGGTTGCAAGGTCAGAACCCCTACATCTACCCTAACCACCCAGGCTGTGCAGACATCTATAGCTGGGAGGTGACCCAGGTGGCCCTCTGCCATGTCCCTACAGTCTCCCCTGTTTCACCCAGGCTCCTTCACACTTCTGGAGGTCACTCCTTCCTAGAATTCTAAGTCACTGAGAAGCCTTCTGATTGCTTTTCTGCATCTGATTCTAATGAGAGAGACTCTCATTATCTGCCCCTCTCCGGTGTACACTGAATCTATATTGTGTATATTTTTCTTGTCTTAATCTCTTAGTTTCCTGAGGTAGATAGGGACAAGGACATAGTCCTTGCCAAAAACCCATGGGAATCAATGAGACAGTCTGTCACATTTAGTTTTATCTGTTTCAACAGCATTTTTACAGCTCCTTGGAAGGGACATTTGATCTTGATTTCCTCCAGTATAACATACTATTAGCTGGGGCCACTAGGAAACCCTTGTACCTTATCCTGTGACCCTAGATGCCCCACACTCTCAAGGAATGTGGCATGCCAGTGCTCACCCCCTGTTCTTCGTTATATCCCATCTCACTTTGTTCTGTTTTCCTCTGCTTCACAGAGTGCCCACAGCCCAGCCTATCCCGAGCCCTGGTCCCTGGAGCTGCCATGAACATGCCTCAGTCCCTGGGCAACCAGCAACTGCCTCCCGAGCTACCATCCCTGGGGACCCCAGTAGAGGGACCTGGGACCACATCTCCACCTGAACACTGTTGGCCTGTGCGCCCGACTCTACGCAATGAGCTAGATACCTTCTCTGTCCACTTCTACATCTTCTTTGGGCCCAGTGTGGCCCTTCCACCTGAGCGCCCAGCTGTGTTTGCCCTGCGGCTGTTGCCAGTGCTCGACAGTGGAGGTGTCCTCAGCCTGGAGCTCCAGCTCAATGTGGTACTCTGTGAAGAGTGGGGTGGTTTGCCCTGTGGGGGAGCCTAAAGGAAAAGGTGTCAGGGGTACGAGGGCTTTTATCTCCTCCAGAAAGCCTGTCCAGGGTGTTTCTCTCTATTTGTAAAATTAGGGACCAAGTCTCAGTCCAGTTTTGGTTGACAAGCTCGCTCCGTATTGCTCACTATGAGTGGGATGGAGCCATTTAAAGCAACTCAGAGTAGTCCTGGTCCTGGTGTTCCCACACACATGCACAGGCTTCTCTCAGGGGTGATTGTTCACTTTTTCTTGTTTCTCTTCTGCAATGAGGGATCATCCTTTCTTGAGGCCATGAAGTTTGTGTTTGGACAGTTTCTATTACTAAGGGTATTTTTGAGGTGCCATTGAAACCTACTTCCATGAACATTTACCTACTGAGCTTTGTTTTGTCCAGTAAATACTCTTCTTAAAAATAATTAACAGACTTTTTCATAGTACCAGGTTTTGAATTCAGTCTTATACTTGCTAGACAGGTGTTACCACTGAACCACACTTCTAGTCCCCCCCTCTCGCTTTTTTTTTTCTTCTGGTTCTTTTCAGGAATATTTTTCAGGTTATTTTGCTTCCCACTTGGGCTTGTATTTAGAATGTCTATTTTAGGCTGCCTATAGTTGTTTGGAACCCAACCCAACCACACCATTGCATTCAGATTTTTTTAGTTGAGATGGAATCTTGAATTTTCAGTCTGGGCTGGCCTTGAACCTGATTTTAAAGCACAACCTGCCCATTCTCTGATTCTCAGGTAGCTAGGATTATAGGCATGAGCCATTGATACCCAACATAGACTTTCTTTTTTGAAGTTTTAACTTTATAGAAAACTGAGCAGAACATGCAGCCTTCTCATATGCCTCTCTCTTCCTGCAGTTTCTTTTAATGACATCTTGCCTTAGAGTAAGTAATAAGTTCATTATATCCCTCAGCCCTTCGTGCTTTCTCTCAGTCAGTACTGACACTCTACCATTTGAACCACACCTCTAGTTTCTGCTTTTTGCTGGTTAATAGGAGACAAAAGTTTAAATGATTTAGAATGGCTGTTTTTGGATCCACTGACGTCTGATCTTTATTTACTTTTTTTTTTGTACTGGTCCTGGGCCTTGAACTTAGGGCCTGGGTGCTCTCCCTGAGCTTTTCTGCTCAAGGCTAGTACGCTACCACTTGAGCCACAGCTCCACATTCAGCTTTCTGGTAGTCTCATGGACTTTCCTGCCTGGACTGTTTTCAAACTGTGATCCTCAGATCTCAGCCTACTGGGTAGCTAGGAGTATAAATGTGAGCTACTGGTGCCAATCTTAATTTTCTTTTTGAGACAGGGTCTCTCTGTGTATAGGTTTAGCCTAGACATGGTAATCCTTCTGCCTCTTCCTCCCAAATGCTGGGATTACAGGCATGCATCACTGTGTTCAGCCATATTCTACTTTAATAGCCTTTCAGATGTATCATCTCTATATCTCCAAAGCTGATACAATGTTGGTTCTTGGGGCCCTGGCATCCAGAACTCTCCCCATCTATCACCACTTCTTCTAGTCATACTTTGGTCATGGTGTCTCTAGAATAGATGATCTGAGGTAATGTGACTAGGGTGGCAGGCAATTCTTGGATTTGTACAATTAGACCAAGTGATTTTTCTGAGCTACTGGATCTTACTATCAGATCATCTGGGCCAGTGGTAAACTAAAATGCCTGGTCTTTTTCCTTTCCTTTGTTTTTTTTTTCTTGAGAACAATTGTATATAAATATTTCTATTATAAAAATAACAAGATCATATAAAAACTTTGGACATAGAAGAAAACATTCTCAATAAAACTGTTTAACTTTTTGGCATGCCTCCTCACAGCTCTTCTCCACATTAATGGCTTTGTTTAGCTAGTTGTAATCCAGGGGCATATACATTTTGATCCCTTGAGACTGTGAACTGCTGCCAATTCCCATCATGTGTTTTTACAGTGAGGTTTTTTAAAACCTAAATGGGAAAATGTATGTCTATACTTGGGGCACTGCTTGATATTGGTTAGGTCTGTGGACCTTGTCCACTTTGTATAGCTCATATATTTATGAAGCCTGTGATCTTCACATCTGAGTTATTATTGTCTGCGTTAAACAGGACTAGGATGAGGACAGAGTCCTGTGGTGAGCCATTGGAGGTTATCTGCTTTGATCATCTCCACTGGGTTTTGACCCAATAATTTATGTACTAACACCTAGCCAGAGATCCTTTTTAACTGCATTATCCCTCAGCTCTGAGGGCAGGGACCACCTACCTCCCCACTAGGAAATCTGAGTACTGTACTATAGTTTGGTGTGTGTGTGTGTGTGTGTGTGTTGGTTCTTCAACCTGAAGCCATGCCTTATAGTCATACTATTTCTCTCTGACTCAGTTCTGGCTAAGACTGTATTGTTTGTATTTGCTTATTGCCATGCCTATGGGCAAAGACAGAGATTTTGATATGACTCTTAAATTTTAGAGCTCATATCAGACCAGCCTCACCATATCATTCTTTTTTCCTGAGTACCTGGAGAATAATGGTCTAGTCTCTCCCCAACTATCGTAGCTCTTACCCTCTCCCTCTTTTCATTCCTCTCCACTCACTCTGATGAGCATCTGCTTCCATTTGTTCATTTGCGTACTATGACACTTGCTGCACACCTTATGCAGCCTGTTTGATTTATTTGAAAAGGTATATCATCATTTCTACTCCGATATTTTCCTCCACATTTGTTCTTCTTTGGCTTTCCTGAAATGACTTTCACTGAGTAATATACTTGAACATATTACTTTGTGAGATTTATAAGCAGGTTCTAAGAAACTCACTTTTAGGATTAAGGACATGGGAACATAACAACACACAGCTTCTTTGGTGAGAATTTCTCTGGACCCAGTGCTTCTCAGGCCCGCTTGCTTGCTAAGCAGTGGCTCTTCCACTTTAGCCATACCTCCAGTCCCTACCTGTGCTTCTCCTGGTGACCTGGGCTGTGATCGTACTACCTGTGCTTTCCTGTTGCTGGGAATGACACGTGCCAACTACCACCCCCATCTCTGCTCTCAAGTAGCGAGGTGGCTTGAGCTACCTGGACCTTGGAGACTGATTTACCTTTATTGTATGCATGCACAATATGAAAATTCACCATGCTGCTTTCATTACTTGTAAGTTAGGATCAAACATGTGGCTCACTTCTAGGGATTTAAACATTTTTTTCACCTCATGGTCTGTTTTATCTCACTCTTTGTGTTTGAATCAGGTGAGATTATGGTATTCTGATACTTTCTGCTTGCAGTCAGCCCCATACATTTACTCCTGGGGCAGGGGGCATCAGGTTTCTTTGAATTCCAACCAGCTTGCTACATTTAATACTTCTGGTATTCCATTACCACCATTCAGAATTCAAGATTGTTCTACTGAGAAGTGAGTTTCTTTACAAGCCTCTTGCCACTCAGCCTCAAGGCAAGATGACTGAAAACCTTAAATTGCGTTGGTCAACAACTAGTCTAACATCTGGCACAGCTGCCCTGTCCCCCAATAAACTAGATAGGATAGAAAAAGAGGGTGTGCTGCCTTTTGAAGGGAACTTTTTCATCAGATTTTGATGAAAGATCGCTGCTGTGGACAACCTGATGCTTTTCAGTCTTGGCTTCTGAGAATGGAGTCAAGAGAGCAGAGCAGCATGTGTATGTGTGTGGGGTGCCTTGGGAGGTGGGGAGAATACACTATCCAATGAGATGAAAGATTGACAGATGTAGATGTTGTGATGGTGAGTCAGGAAACAGTCTTAACACAAGGCTGTCCATACCTGTTCTACCCAGAGTTCCCTGCACCAAGAAAATGTGACAGTGTTTGGATGCTTGACCCACGAGGTGCCCTTGAGTCTGGGTGATGCTGCGGTGACCTGTTCCAAAGGTGGGGTGAGGAATAGGGAAGGGGAGGAGGCCAGAAGTTTCCACAGGGCTGGGTGAGGTGGCAGGGGATGAGGCAGGCCAGATTAAGGCCTCTGGGAAGTTAAAGTGGGTGGGTGAGGGTTTCTGGGTCCTGATCACATGCTGATGTGCGTCCCTCTCTTCTCCCTTCAGAGTCTCTAGCCGGCTTCTTGCTATCCGTCAGTGCCACCTCCAGAGTGGCCAGGCTTCGAATCCCATTCCCACAGACAGGGACTTGGTTCCTGACCCTCCGCTCTCTGTGTGGGGTGGGGCCTCGGTAAGAGATTGCTGGGCTGGTTCTGGGATGGGTGGGTGTGGTTCATGCACAAGGTAATTGGTAGTGTGTGCACACATGCAGGTTTGTGCGGTGCCGCAATGCAACGGCTGAAGTGCGGCTGCGCACCTTCCTGTCACCGTGCGTGGACGACTGTGGGCCTTATGGCCAGTGCAAGCTGCTGCGCACGCACAACTACCTGTATGCGGCCTGCGAATGCAAGGCTGGTGAGTGTGCTGGGTCTCCTGGGTTTTAGGGTGGCCTGGAGGGGTGTGTGAGCTGGGCCCTAGCCTGGGTGGGGGCCAAAGCCCCCATGGCTGCCTTCTGTCTTCTTCTACTCCTCGCCTTCCCCACCCACAGGGTGGCGGGGCTGGGGCTGCACCGACAGTGCCGATGCACTCACCTATGGATTCCAGCTGCTGTCCACGCTCTTGCTCTGCCTCAGCAACCTCATGTTCTTGCCACCCGTGGTCCTGGCCATTCGGAGCCGATATGTGCTAGAAGCTGCTGTCTACACCTTCACTATGTTCTTCTCCACGGTATGCAGTGGTCGTCCCTGTCTTCACCGTGTCCTTGTCCGTGGTGGCGGGCAGGGGTCTGTATTTCTACCACGTTCTCCATGGGGGTGGGGACCTCTTTGTCTTCACCATGTCTTCTAGAACAGTGCTTTCTTTTTTGTAAGGTACCTTGAGATTAATGACTAAAGCTGTTTTCAACTTAATATAACAAGTGTGTGGCTCCAGCTGTTTCACATACTGCCTACCTAGAAGGTGAAGGACAGATACCTTGACTAACAACACCTTGGCTAAGAAACTGTCCCAGGGTATGAAATTGTGTCTCTACCTTTACAGGGTGTGAAATGCAGAGATGTGCAGAGTCTTCACCTTCCTCATGTTCTTGTTTTGATGTGAAGGGCTAGCTATACTGTGCTTATGGCTTCTACTGTACTGGGGATTTCAGCTCTTTAGTGTGTTTATTGGCATGCCCATGTTTTCCCATGGAAACTTCTAGAAGGTAGAGGAAAGCTCTGTATTGGGCAATTGATGTAGGAAAAGTCTGGCTCTCAGAGTCCTGAAGCATCATGGGAAATGATAATGCTTTAAACACCTCCATTTCATTACAGAATCTTCACAGTTCTTTCCCTGAGATTTTCCACCCTTATATAACCAGAAAGATCCATATTACAAGCAGAAGTTTCAGATACTAATAGGAAAGGTAGAGAAGAGGATCTGCTAGATTTAACCCCCAAGTATTTTTCCTGCAAGGATTCTGCATCTAGGGATCTCGTTATCTCATCAGTGGGTTTCTGGCATCTTGTGACACAGTGACTATCTTAGATGGATTCACACTCTCCTAATATCTGGGCAATAAGGATATCACAAAAACCCATCTGTGCTTTCTTGGTGTCCTGCAGTCCTTGACATATGGGAGAAAAGTAGGGGACAGATGTGCTGAAAGTGAAGGTCACAGGAGCCTCCTGGGTGCATCCACAAATGAGGCAGCGTACACTTATCACCATGTCTCTAGAGAGAGCTTGGCTCTTTTGGCAGGGTAAAAACGCATTCCAATTTTGCCTGACTGGGCCCCTTTTCAGGCCTGCTCTGATAGTGCCTCATTCTATTTTTATACCAGACACTATTTTTCTTATTGCCAGATGCCCTTTATACTGCTGTTTACCAAATCCTCTAGCAACAGCTGTTCTGCCACCCTACTCTTGGCTCCAGGCTGATCTAACGTGACTCACAATTAGTAAGATTACTTTTTTTCTTTTAAACAGTGCTGGGGTTTAAATTCAGGGCCTGACCTCCAGTCCTTTTTGCTTTCACTATTTTTCAAATACTGTTTCACTTTTTTGCTTGTGATGGCCTGCTACACAGTTCTATTTATGTATCCCGCATGGCTGATATGACAGGCTTGTATCACTGCATCCAGGTTTTAATCGGTTGAGGTGGGATTTCAAGAACTTTTTTGCATAGGACTGACCTTGAACTGTGATTTCCTGATTTTGACCTCCCAAGTAATTAGGATTTCAGGCATGAGCCACTGCACCCAACACCCCTACTTTCATAGATAAGGCAAATAAGTAAGAGAATAATGAAGAACTACTGGTTCTGAGGCTTTCTTTATTTTTATTTTTAGGGTCTGCTCGTGGGCCCACGTGAACTCTGGGCCTGGGTGCTGTCCCTCAGCTCTTCAGCTCAAGGCTAGCGCTCTACCACTTGAGCCACAGCACCACTTCCGGCTTTTTTCTTTTTTGCTTATGTGGTGCTGAGGAATCGAACCCAGGGCCTCATGAATGCGAGGCAAGCACTCTACCACTGAGCCACCTTCCCAGCCCCTGGTTCTGAGGCTTTAATTGAAGTCATGCTTTTAATTCTAGTTATTTTTCCACATGGGTCAGAACAGAGCTGCTGGCATCCAGTTTTCCAGGAGAATATTCCCCATCATCCCTCCTTTCTATTATTTCCTTAGTTTAGACTTATTTCTGCATCTGTGTCCATTGAAGGACCCATTGGTGATATTGCAATTGGCACTACCACCATAGAAGAAGGTCGGTCATTTTCCTGTCTTAAAATTCAGAATAGTTTATATTTGGGAGTACTTTAGAAATTTACACATATAAAGTGTTAAAAAGATTTAAAAAAAACAGGCCACAACCTGACATTTGATTTTGTATGTAACCAAATAGTTTAGCTGATAACAGCAGCAAAGGGACACATATTGAACATGTGCTATGTTAGGCACTACTAATTTAATCCCCACAATATACTGTCATAATAGGTAGTCACGTTTATTCTTTTTATGTGTATATGTGTGCTAGTATCAGGGTTTGAACTCAAAACCTTGAGCTCCAGCTTGGCTTTCTTTTCTTTTTTTTTTTTTTTTGGTCCAGTCGTGGGGCCTGAACTCTGGGCCTGGGCGCTGTCCCTCAGCTCTTCAGCTCAAGGCTAGCGCTCTAGCTTTTTTCTTTTTGCTTATGTGGTGCTGAGTAATCGAACCCAGGGCCTCAGGCATGCAAGGCAAGCGCTCTACCACTGAGCCACCTTCCCAGTCCAGCTTGGCTTTCTTTGTGTGTATGTCAGGGATGGAGGTATGGAGCTTGGACTCAGAGTTTGCATTGTCCCTCAGTTTTTCTTGCTCATAGCTGGTGTTCTACCTCTGAGCCATGCGTCAGTTCAGGATTTTGCTGGCTAATTGCAGATGCAGTCTTATAGACTTTTCTACCAGGGCTGGCTTCAAACCATGATTATTTAGGTCTCAGCCTCCTAAAAAGCAAGGACTACTAGTGTGAACCACTGGCACCCAACTTCACTTTCACTCTTATTATTTTCATTTGTTTGTTTTTGTCTGAGACCAGACTCAAACTTGGTATCTGATGCTTTTACTCATTGGCTGTCACTTTACCACCTGAGCCCTGCCATTTTGTTAGATGAATGAAATTTGAATGCTTTGCCTGGAACATGAATGATAGAGTCTAGATAGTCAGATTCTAGGTTCCTCACATATAATCACTGTGTGAACATGGATTGGTAATTTCTAAACTAACTTCAGTGCTTCAGAAGTCCTCAAGTATTATAGAGAAACATGTGACCTCAACTTAGTACTTTTCCTTAAATCCTTTTTTTTTTTTTTTCTGGTCATGGGGCTTGAATTCAGGGCCTGAGCCCTGTCCCTGAGCCATTTTGCTCAAGGTAAGCACTCTACCACTTTGAAACACAGCACCACTTACAGGTTTCTGGTGGTTAATTGGAGAGTCGTATGGACTTTCCTGCCCAGGCTGCAATCCTCAGGTCATCAGGCCTCCTGATGAGCTAAGATTACAGGTGTGAACCACCAGTGCTCGGCTTCAAATTCTTTGTTTGTGTGTATATGTGTGTGAGCGTTGGTACCAGGACTTGAACTCAGAGCCTCATGTTCTTCTGTAGGTTTTTCACTCAAAGTTGGTGGTCTACCACTTTGAGCCACACATCCACTTCTACCTTTCTTTCTTTCATTTTTGATGGTTAACTGAAATAAGAGCCAGATTTTGTCTGCATGGGCTGGCTTCCAACTAGGGTCTATAGACCTTAGCGTCTTGAGTAGGTGAGCAACTGTGCCTAGCCTCTCCTCAAATTCTTGTCATAGTTCCTCCTTTTCTTTTATCTTTTTTTCTATTTTTTTGTGATGCTAGGGACCAAACCCAGAGTCTTATTCATACGAGATAAGTGCTCTGCCACTGAACCACATCCCAGCTCTCTCATAAGAGCCAATCAGGAGATAAGAAAACAGAACCAAACCACAGGAGTGATGGTACACACCTGTAATCCCAGCTACATAAGAAGCATAGGTAAAAGGATCATGATCCAATGCCAGGTCTGGGCAAAAGCACAAGAACCTATCTGAAAAAATAACTAAAGCAAAAAAGGGTTAGGGGTATGGCTCAATTGGTAGAATGCCTTGAAAGTTCAAGTTTTAAGCTTGGTACAGCCAAACTAAAATAGAAACAAAACCAACAAAACAAAACAAAACAAAAAAGCCATATATAAAACACTTCAGTGACACAACTCTAATCCATATAGTCCAAGCCATAGATCGTTCTTAATGCTAGTTGAGTCCTATAATTAGATCTCGAAAGCCCAGGTAGAGCCCACATCCTGAGACCATTCAGCCTTCCTTGGTTATTGCTGCTATCTTGGCTACAAGCCTATTTTCTCATTACCTTTTTGGTTCCTCAATCATCACAGGTAATTTTCCATAGCCCTTGGCGAAAATCACATAACTGCTTCTAAAAGAAAACATAATTAGGCAACAAAAATAAAAGAGAAATTGTAAGTTTCATTATATCCTGACTGCAAGTATTGCAGTCTTTGCATTGATTAAATATGCTTTCATTTCCAGTGTGATATTCTGTAATGCCTAGTTTCATCATTTTTGAACATTAGATGAACTGTTTAGTTATAAAAATGTAAAATAATGCACATAAAAACAATTTAGGATAATTTTCTGTGGGGGAGGGTTCTGGAGTTTGAACGCAGGGCCTCATGCTTGCTAGACAGGGGCTCTATCTTGAGCCATACCCCAGCTCTCTTTTGCTTTACTTATTTTCAAATAAGATCTCAAGGTTTTGCTCAACCAACCTCAGACTGTGACCTTTCTATCTATGATGTTCGGATCCTCTTACCTATGGCATTCTATGTAACTGGGATAACAGATGCATACTGCCATATCTAGCTTCTGTGAGATGGGGTCTTGTCATCTCTTTACATGGCCTTGAACATTGGTCCTCCAATCTCTCCCACTCATAGTTGTGAACCTCTGTGCCTATGCCAGGATAATAACCTCAGATATAGCATTCAGAGCTGGGGAAATGACCAACTTAGATTGGAATTACATTAATAGAATCTAGTTTGTAGTCTTAATATCTTTAATTCCCTAATTTAAAAAATTATTTATTTATTTTTATTACTTATTTATTTTATTGGTCCTGGGACTTGAACTCTGGGCCTTGTCACTGTTCCTGAGCTTCTCTTTCTTGAGGCTAGTTCTGTATCACTTGAGTCACAGCTCTAATTCTGGCTTTTTGGGTAATGTATTGGAGATAAGAGTCTCATAGACTTTGTTGCCCAGGCTAGTTTTGAACTGCAGTTCTCAGATCTTAGCCTCCAGAGTAGCTAGGATTACAGGTATGAATGAGCCTCTGGCGCACAGCTTTAAAAAGAAATCATTTCTAATACTTCTATTGCTATTGATAAAAGGAATACTAATATAAAAATACTAATATAAAAATCAGCTCACAAGTTTTAGTGGAACAATTTCTTCCTACAGCAATCTTTTAAAAAATTTATATTGCTATTATTAAGGTGATATACAGAGGGGTTATCATAAACACACAATAATCTTAATTTGGATTTTCTACCACCTTAAACAATTGCTCTGACTTTTTAAAAGCACATAGAACATAATCAGCCATAGAGCATTAGTGAGAAGATCTCTCTAAAACCCCTTTAAGAAGAGATACTATTTCCATTTCTCCCACTTTTTTTTTAGTGCAGAGAATTTCCTAGGAGAAAATCTGTTGTCTGTTATTCCTCTAGATATGTCCTTGGTATTTGGAGAATCAGCTTTGCCTTTTATTCTGCTGACCTGTATTCTTATCTTAGGTCAAATGTTCATTACACGTTCCTCTTCCAGAAACTTTTGGGCATTTCTTTCTTTATACTTGAAAGTCAGTCATATGGAACAAGTGCTTGGTTAAGCCTGAAATGTAAGAGTAATGCTTGGCAAGAAAATCCAAATCATAAATACATATTAAAAGTGATTTAGTGGCCTCTACTTATGTCTAGTGTTGGAGGGAGAGAATAACCAATGTCCTATTTGGTCTTTTTCTAGTTTACGTATTAGAAAAAAACCAAAATATTGATGCATTTAGGAAACAAATTAACTCTCACCACCGCTAAGAGAAAGCACTGTAAAAATAAACAAATCTTGTGGGCATAGTCAAAGTAGACACTGTCCCTTCTTCACCTTGTTTTGAATAGTGGGAAGCTCCAAGCTGTACTCCATGGCCTTAGCAACAGCCTTCTTGATTACTGTGCTCCCTGCCTCCTTGGCTTGGGTAAAGAGGATGAAGGAGGGCAGTTAGTGGAAGTCAGGAGAGTTAAGCCCAATTCAGACTCAGCTCTCAGGGGAAACTAGAACAGGCAAGGGAGGTTCAGGGTCTAGATTAGCCAACAGGCTAGAGCCAGATTCCAAAGCTTGGGCCTGGGTTGGGGATTGTTGCTGGGACCCACAGTGGGCATGAGGAGAGAGGGAAGGGATTGGCCTCAGCTTGTAAGTTCTGGGCCCTTTGGCCTGTCACTCACCATAGTATATTCTAGAAGCAGGAAGATTAGGAAGGTGAGGACCACAGTCAGAGATGCCAGATACAGCATATGAAGCCAACCAGGCCTCTATACTGCATGCTTCTTAGCAGTAGGGGAGTCAGACATTTCCTCACTCCACTCACCTGTGACCCCTGACCTCTATTTCTGATAAACATCCCGATGGCTTCCTTCTCTTTGTTTTGTAGACCTGCACCTGCGCTTCAGGGCTTTTCAACACCTGTCATTTCTTTCTCCAGTTCTATCATGCCTGTGACCAGCCAGGCATCGTGGTTTTCTGCATCATGGACTATGACGTGCTGCAGTTCTGTGATTTTCTGGGCTCCTTAATGTCCGTGTGGGTCACTGTCATCGCCATGGCTCGTTTACAGCCTGTGGTCAAGCAGGTCAGTGCAGAGGGGCCCTGGGGGATAACCATAGCCAAAGTCTACTGGAAATTGAAATTCGTTCCTGCCGGGGGGGGGGACAGGGGGGGATTTTACAAGTGCTTCTCACCAATCAGGTCCTGCCCCTGCAGTGCTCTCACTTTGCTCTAGCCCAGCCCCTGGAGTCCTCTTTCCCTAGGTGCTGTATCTGCTGGGGGCTATGCTGCTGTCCATGGCTCTGCAGCTTGACCGACATGGACTCTGGAACCTTCTTGGACCCAGTCTCTTCGCCCTGGGGATCTTGGCCACAGCCTGGGTAAGGGTTGGGTGGGCTGAGGAGGAGGGTGGGAGGAGCAGGACTTGGGTGAAGGGTCTTGGCTATATAGTCTCCAGTTTAAGGTGGGTTTGGACTGTCATGCCTGGGACCAGCCAGGCATTGTGGTTTTCTGCATCATGGACTATCATGTGTCATCTGCCTACCGCACCTACTTCAGTAGTAGGCAGGCAGGTATCTTTAGGTCACAATCAGGGTTCAAGAGAAACCTGAGAATGACCAGCTCTGGCTTAGGTTCTAGGACCTCGCATTCTGAGCCCCGCCTCTCTGCCTCCCCCAGACAGTACGTAGTGTGCGTCGTCGTCATTGCTACCCACCCACGTGGCGCCGCTGGCTCTTCTACCTGTGTCCAGGAAGCCTTATCGCAGGCAGCGCTGTCCTACTCTATGCTTTTGTGGAAACCCGGGACAACTACTTCTACATTCATAGCATTTGGCATATGCTCATCGCCGGCAGTGTGGGCTTCTTGCTGCCTCCTCGTGCCAAGACTGACCGTCGGGTCCCATCTGGAGCCCGGGCCCGGGGCTGTGGTTACCAGCTGTGCATCAATGAGCAAGAGGAGTTGGGCCTTGTGGGCCCTGGTGGGGCCACTGTCAGCAGCATCTGTGCTAGCTGAGAGGGGCTTTGGGCCAGGCTCCTAGGGGATATGAACCCTTCCTAGGGTTCTTCCTAGGGCCATGGAGCCCACTTGGGGATGAGAGATAAGCTGCATTCCTCTCAACATGGAGTCTTTCTCAAGAACATTGAATTCTTTCAGGGACCTGGAGGCCTTCCCAGGACACGGGGGCTTCTGGAGGGCCTGGAGTCCTCCTGAGTCCATGGAGTCCTTTCTTAAGGACTGGAGCTATGCAGGGCACAGAGCCTACTCAGGACAAAGGAATCCCTCCTAGGGATGTGGAGCCCTTCCCAGCAATCTGGAGGCCTCCTACAGACATGAATTGTTTCTCATGGAGTCCATCTTGGGGGAAACTGAGTCTCTAGATTTTTGTGAGAGACTCAGTAACTCTGGCTTCAGATTTCCTTCCCAGAGGCAGTGTGTGTGTGGGCTGGGCTGGGCTGGACTTGGAAAGGGGTGTTGCAGGACAGATGGAGCTGGGGCAGGGTTGATGGTGGGACAGGGATGTAGGTGGAATCTGATTTGTCTCCAATGAAGTATATGTTGGTTCTATGCTGCATTTTCTTTCTTTCTGAGGCTTGGGGTGGGAGGAGGGAAGGAAAGGGACGGTGGGAGACCAGTCTGAAGATGAAGCTTCTGCCCCATTGTGCAGCCCTCTACCTGGTTCTTGCTCTCCTTTCTTACCTCCTGATGGCTGTTTCTCAATCCCTGTGGATTCCAGCCTCTAGTAGTGTGTGTGCATGTGTGTACTAGGTATGAGTATGCATGGGTACATGTATACTAAGACAAATTGAAATCAGTTACATATCCCCTATGACACACTCCCAGAAAAAGAAGTTGAGGTGCTTTGAAATTGGAATAACAGATACAAGTTTAAGATGCACAAAAAATACCTCAAGAATGTTCCTATTTTGAGCCTCCATTTTCCCCTAAATGCCAGAAATAATCTTTTGTCAGTTGGAATTTCTCTGTTTCCATGGGGGTCATAGCTGAGTTCTGAGGGTCTTACATAATGTCAAGATGTCAGGAGAACATTCTCTCTGGTCACGTCCATACTCCACCCATCCCCTGAGATTTCCATCATCCCATCTGGCTCCCAGTCAGGGACCAGACAGATCAGGTGGATGCTGGAAGGTTTCTCGTTCCTGTCAGTATAACTCCTCAGTCCTGAAGTTCCGAACACCTTGGCTTTCCAAACATTCTACAAAGTCATTTCTACTCTGGAGTCCAGCTCTAGGTTTTACTTAACAAACAAGGCATGAACCGTTCCATCATTTAAATTCTGTAGACATATCCAGAGTCTTGTCTCATGATACCCTTCTTTTAAGAACCATCTGTGCCAGTGCTCACACTACATTCCCTCCTCCTCTTCCCCCCCCATTTGTTCATCTGGAGATGGGGAAACTTTACTGTTGTGTTTTCTTTTCTTTCTCAAATCTTATCTGTGCCTTAAGTTTTTTCTATTTTCTTCAGGGTTGAAACCCAGGATTGCTTCCTGCATTCATGTCTCTTCCTTGGGATACTGAGTAGGGAATAACAGGGCCAACTGAGTGGCAAGAAGTGAGGATGGGGGCTGGGAAGGTGGCTCAGTGGTAGAGCATTTGCCTTGCATGCCTGAGGCCCTGGGTTCGATTCCTCAACACCACATAAAAAAGAAAAAAGCCGGAAGTGGCGCTGTGGCTCAAGTGGTAGAGCTTGAAGAGCTGAGGGACAGTGCCCAGGCCCAGAGTTCAGGCCCCACGACCAGACCTTTCCCCCCCCCCCAAAAAAAAAAGAAGTGAGGATGGGTGAAGTGAGGGTGGGTGGGCTAAGGGTTAATTCCCCTGTACGAACTGTTATTCCTGCCGGGCGCTGGTGGCTCACGCCTGTAATCCTAGCTACTCAGGAGGCTGAGATCTGAGGATCGCGGTTCAAAGCCAGCCCGGGCAGGAGAGACCGTGAGACTCCTATCTCCAATAAACCACCAGAAAACCGGAAGTGGTGCTGTAGCTCAAGTGGTAGAGCCCTCGCCTTGAGCTGAAGAGCTGAAGGACAGCACCCAGGTCCAGAGTTCAAGCCCCACGACCGACAAAAAAAAAATGTTATTCCTGGGCTGGGAAGGTGGCTCAGTGGTAGAGCACTTGCCTTGCATGCATGAGGCCCTGGGTTCGATTCCTCAGCACCACATAAGCAAAAAGAAATAAAGCCGGAAGTGGCGCTGTGGCTCAAGTGGTAGAGCGCTAGCCTTGAGCTGAAGAGGTGAGGGACACAGCCCAGGCCCAGAGTTCAGGCCCCATGACCGGACCCTCCCCCCCCAAAAAAAAGAGAAAGAAATGTTATTCCTTCACAGAGCTAGAACAGATTACTAAGACTCTTGAACCATATAGCTGGGGTTCAGTCTAAATCAGTAGAGAGAGCCAAAGAGGCAAAGAGCTGGGTTTTCACCTCCCAGCTAGGAAGGGTTGGCAGGGGCTTCTGGAAAAGGGACCTTGAATAAAGATGAAACAAATTGCTGTAATGATAAGATTTGGGAAAGTGTTCTCTATGGTCACATGTGCCCATCTTTCATCCCTTTCCTGAGATTCCCATCATCCCTCAGGTCCCTCATTCAATAAAATACTTAAAACACATACCAGAGAGCTAGGTTGGTATGTGATATGTATTCAGTATGTGCTGACAAAGGTCACGGAGTTATTGGACATGAGAGCTAGAGTAAGGGGAAGATGCAGAGGCACAAAAGACTGGTATTTACCCAGGCAATTGTGAACAAAAGCACTGGGCCTGGGCCTCTGGTGAGTGGGTGTGGTGTAGGTCAGGTAGTCAATGATGTGGCATCTGGTTCTTACCTGATGGGAAGTGAAGAGCTACTGGACAATTTAAGCAGAATAAAATGAACAGGTTTGGTTTTTTTGATAGTTGGTACAGGGTACGAGTTTTGAGAGGAATTGGAAGAATGAGCATGGAGTGACAAAGCTGTCATACTATTTGAGATAATGAAGATAATTTGAAATAATGAAGGCTTCCTGACATAGCCCCATTGGAGAAGAGGAGACTCCTGAGTGACTAATTGGATGTGTGGAGTGAAGTATGGAGAGAAAGTCTAGGATGTCCACCATGTTTCTGACTTGGGGTGATGGTACCATTCCTTGAGTGCCTGATACCACTAGGAGTTCCATTTGGGATATTTTAAGGTGCATGTGGCGTTCCTGGGGGAAAGGGACTAACAATGAGTCAGGGCTGGGCATAATGGCTGAAGTAGCCCTTGAGCCCCTGTGTATCTCCTCACTTGTCTCACTGTGAAGATCCCCAAATCCAAGCTATCCCTGCCTGCCCTGGATACAGGGCTGTGGCTGCTGCAGGTCCTGCTGCCGCCTTGCATGTCCCTTCTGTATGCACAGCCTCCCCGAGATCTCTGTCCACCCACAAATGCCTGAAGCAGGGCTCAACTCTCAGATGATGACACTATGAAAGCTTCCAAGGCACAGTTTGGTTTTGCAGTCCAGCTATCAGGAAGTCTCTGTGGGAGCTGAAAAGGTGAGTCAGAGTCGGAGACCCTGAAGGAACATTCCTGTGAAATGTCATGGATGCCTCTGGATAGGTACCAAGTAAAAGGTCATGCAAAGTGCCATAGGATGTAAAGAGGTTGATGCAAAAATGCATCAGGGAGGAATGCATGGAAGAGCTGATAATCTTCAGTGTTATCTGAGAACAGCATCATCAGACATGGGTGCAGACAGTACAGATGGTGCACTGTGCGGCCAGCCCAAATGAACAGCTTAGCGGCGAGCCAGATTGAAAAAGCAGGCATACTCAGACTCTGGAGGACCTAGCCAAGAATTTGGACTAATTGCTGTGCTAATATGCCAGGAAAGGTCCTTGATCAGAAGACTGGTGAATCAGTTGGGATTTGACCAAAAAGGGAGAAACACTCTGAGGGATCTAGGGAATTTACTATAGAGATAAGACTTACACAGTCAGGAGCAGTTAGGGAAGTCTATATAGAGCTGGTACTTCTGCATTTGGCTTTGGTTCTGAAGGTGGTACAGGCCTGCAGGGCTGGCAGCAGGAAGGAAAGGTGGGTGAGTGAGGGAAAATAAGAGCTCAGGACAATAGACTGGAACCTGTGTACAGCTCCTGCTGTCTTCAAGCTCAGTGACCCAGATGTCCTGCAAGAAAAGTTGACACCTTTTGGCCTGGAGCTGAATGTGGCCCAAACTGAGAACTGAGCCTGATCAGGTAGAAGCAGGATGGACTGCACTGATAAGCACCCAGTACATTAAAGATAGGAAGGCTTTTGCTGTTCTTTTCCTTCCAGCCTCATGTGCCTGTCTAAAAAGAGGCCTGTGCAGGAAGGAAATTTGGGAAAGCACACTTCCAGACTAGTTTGGTTGACATAGTACAAAGCTACCACAAGGGAACTAACCAGAGCTTTCTGGGGATGCTGAACCAGCCCTGTGCAGCTCATGGGGAACGGACAGCCAGAGCACAGGCTCTTGGGTTAACTGTGAGTGATATGAAGTCATTAGGTATTAAGAAATCCCTCAGTCCTTTTTCCTTCCAGGCACATAGAGCTGGGTGTATACTCCCTCTTCATGTTAGAAATGGCCTCGTGCCTTGTGTTGGCAGTGAAATGTATGTGGAAGTAGCAGATGCCACTTTTTTTGGTCTGTTTTGGGGCTGGTACTCAGGGCCTGGGTGCTGTCCCTGAGCCCTTTGCCCAAGGCTAGTGCTTTACCACTTTGAACCACAGATCCATTTTTGGTTTTCTGGTGGTTAAATGGCAATAAAAGTTTCACAGACTTTTTTTTTGCCTGGGCTGGCTTTGAACAACGATCCTCAGATCTCAGCCTCCTGAGTAGCTAGGATTATAGGTGTGATCCACCAATACCCCAGGCATCACTTTGGAGTAGAAGCTATGAGTCCACACAGGCTCTGTTAACTTCTGTTTCCTTTTGGCATAGTGACCAGCAGTGGATGGTGCCTGCTCTGTCATTGTAAGTCCCAGAGGGGAGAAGACAGTGATGCAGAGCAGACCCCAGGCCACGCATGGATCTGAAGCATGAGCGAGAAACCAACCTTAATGGTTTTAAGCTATTGAAAATTTGAGATCATTTCCATCACATAACCTAGCCATTACTGACTGATAGAGCTGGATTGCAACAGTAAAAGTGGGGCATTCTCCTGGTAAAATCTCTTCTCAGCAGAACTGCAAAAGCAGCTTTCACCTCTGAATTCCTCAGACCGTAGATGATGGGGTTCAGTGAGGGTGTCACAACCTCATAGAACAATGTAATGAGCTTATCCACATCCGGGTCTTTGGCCTTGGGTTTGAGGTTCATGAAGGAGATGGTCCTATAGAAAACTACCACCACTGTGAGGTGAGCAGAGCAGGTAGAGAAGGCTTTGTGGCGGCCTGCAGCAGAGGGTACGCTGAGGATGGCAGCCAGGATGAAAATGTAGGAGTGGCAGATGAGCAGGAGTGGAGTCAGTGTCAGGACAGCTGTGGCCACCATTATTGTCAGGGCATTGAGGGAGATGTCCCCACGGGCCGGTTTCAGCACTGCCAAGATCGCACAGAAGTGGTTGATGACATTATGGCCACAGAAGGGGAGGCGCC